CAGTACAGTTCTAGAGAGATTTAGAGACTAATTCTATTTCTTTTTCTTTATTAGGGACTAGCACAGAGCTTGGCACATAATAAGCACCAATTAAATATTTTCTGAGGGAAAATAAATGCAAGCAACCTAATAATAAAAGGTGATTTTATTTGGGAAGTAACTTGGTGGGAAGTGATCTAAATCTGCATTGAAGATACTAATCTTTTTCTTTGCAGCACTATGGATCCAAGCCTGTTGAGAGAAAGGGAGCTGTTCAAAAAACGAGCTCTTTCTACTCCTGTGGTAGAAAAACGTTCAGTGTCTTCTGAGTCGTCGTCATCATCATCATCCAAGAAGAAGAAAGCAAAGGTAGAACATGGAGGATCCTCAGGCTCTAAACAAAATTCTGGTTAGTAAAATTGGTGAGGACTATTTGGTTTTTGCTGTTCAGGTGGCCATTTAGTCCTGGCAAGTTAATTTTTCAGTTCAGCATTTGTATTGATTGCTGGGCACTTTGTTTATAAGGGATGAGATGGTAAGAGAAATTTAAGCTGTTAAGGTGTTAATGATCTTATTTGTAGGTAAAATTTAGGTTATTATCTCTGAATTAGGGTTGTGTAACTTACAACAGTCCAATTTTGGAACATTTCTGTCACCCATAAAGATCTGATATGCCTGTTCCCATCCCAGCCTCAGATAACCAGTGATCTACTTTCTATTACTTAGGTTCCTTTTCTGAACATTTCATATAAATGGATTTGTATAATAGTGCTCTTGTGTATTTTTTTCCCCACTTACTGTGTTTTTTAGTTTTATTCATGTTGTATTGGTACTTCATTTCATTTTATTGCTGAAGAGTATTCAATTGTATGGATATATATACCACAGTTTATCCATTCACTAGTTGTTAATGGGCATTTGGATTATTCACACTTTTTGGCTGTTTTAAGTAGTGTTACTATGAATATTCATATATAAGTTTTTGTGTAGACATTTTTATTTCTGTTGTATAGAAACCTAAGTGGAATTTCTGGGTCATTTGGTAAATTTATGTTT